CTCAGCAGCAGGCCCTTGCTCTGTAACATATATTTAATGAATCTTAAGCAAGTCATTTAATCACCCTAAGCCACCATTTTTTTTAATATCTACATTAGGAAAAGGCTATTATAAAGATTTCAAAGAATACACTAAATAATTCATTATAAAATCTCTGACATGGTCTCTGAATTATGGTGGGTAGTAAATGTGTATTGCAGGAAATGGGAAGGAAGCCAGAAATAGAGATCCGTTTTGACTGTCCTTATTGGAGAGAAAACCACAAGCATTTACAAACATCCATAATAGCAATGCCCTTCTCCATACTATTATAATAAGAAATTACATGCTGGGCTCAGAGGTGCACACCCTGTAATCCCAGCAACTTGGGAGACTGAGGCGGGAGGATTCTAAGTTCAAAGCCAGCCTCCGCAAATTAGTGAAGCCCTGAGCAACTTCATGAGACCCTGTCTCAAAATAAAATTGTAAAAAGGTCTGAGGATGTGGCTCAGTGGTTTAGCGCCCCCAGGTTTAATCCCTGGTACCAGAAAGAAAAAAAAAAAAAAGAAAGAAATCATACTATAAGAGTGCTAAAATATCTTATTAATGCTGTACCTTAGAAAAGGCCAAATCCACAGCAGCTAAAGAACAACAGTTAATTCATATTGCCAGTATGATTTAAAAATCAACAATAATAACAGGCAAATAGTGATTTTTTTTCTTTTTCAACTTACAGAAACATTACTAGAAATCACTAGACTGTCTACATAGCTCCTACACTTATGAAAAATGTTAAATGGGACAAGGGATGAAAAGGAAAAAGTGCATCCAGTGGAAACTTAAGTGGCAGCAAGGTAGGGAATAAATAAGGTTGAAGTTAACTTGCTTAGGCAAGACTCTTATGAACTTCTATCTCGTAAAAGAAACCAGTTTGAAATGTCCTAGTGAAACTGTCCTTCCCATGGATTCCTAAAATAAGAGTTATAGAATAGTTTATGAAATTGACTACAGAGCACTTTAAGCTCTGTGGGATTTGAGAAACATAAGAACATAAACAGTATTGATAAATGTTTCCTTTCCAGTCTAGACTAATGAGGTTCCAATTAGCTAAGAGTCTCTAGCACACTATGCATTCATTCACTAAATTCTGCACAATATAGCAAAGAATGCATCCTAAGGAATGTAAAAACTGTATTACATCCTGTCTTCAAGAAAACAGATCGACATATTTAAGAAAAATGCCATACGAGATATATATAAATAAAAAATTACTTATGCAAGAAGGACCAAGAAAGTTTTAGGAAATTCATGGATTGAATACAGACATCAGAAAACCAGAAAGGAGGGAAGAAGGAAAAAATTGTAGGTGAAAGACTAGTTAAGGCAATTAAATAGGCTAATACAAGCACTGACAAGTAGGAATTGGCTGAAGCCTAGGCAATTGAAATGATCTGAGTGTTAGATTTGGAATGAGATTGTAAAAATATTTTTGGATAGCAGGAAAAAAAAATTAAACCTTATTCTGTAAAGACTAATAGTTTCAAAATAAAGGGAAATGAAGAATTAAAAGTTTAAATTAGGAAAATTAGTCTTGTATAATGATTTAAGTATGAAATATGGAAAAAAAAATAGTGTTAGGTAGGTTAAGAAAAGCTATCAGAGTTAATGATAGAAATAGACAAGTCATCAAACAGTGATAATTATATAAACTCATACCCCCAACTCGAAGTAGAGTTAAATCATGTTTTCAGAAAAATTATGTACATATTTTAAATTTCATTCCCTAAGCTGTTAAACAAAAAAGTTTTTAAAATCTCTCTGAACCTACTACTAAAATGCATTTATTTCCCAGAGTAAACATGTAAAATTAAAATTATCTCCAGAAGAAATGCAGCCTGAAAGCCTTTTTTTATTATTAGTTATTCATGATAGTACTCATGATAGAATGTATATTGACATATTATACATATATGGAGTATAATTTCCCATTCTTCTGGTTGTACATGAGATGGGCGCTATAAATCTGTTCCCTAAACCAGCCTTAATTCTAGAGTTAAAGATATGTATATTTTTCATATAACACAGCCCTACTCATAAGTAAACCACTTTATCCAGTGCTCAAAATAAAAATAGTAATCTATTCAAACACTGGAGGAAAAACTGGCTGTTATACTTTATAAAACACAATACTTATACTATAATTTATATGCTATTTAAAAAGTTTTTCTGAGGTATTTTGGCTCAATTTTTGCTTCACATACAGATTTTAGAACCTATTCTCTGCTTAACGCCCTTTTTCTCTTATCTTAATCATAGTAAGCACACTTGAGGTAGCTAAACCAGGATTTCAGTCAAAACAATTATTTGAGAGCAGAAAAATTAACTAAATATAATGAAACATTTCAGGAAGCTAAAATCGGACAAATAAAAACAAAATCTCCAAGCACTGGGTATGGTTACAGAAAACAAATGTGGGCACCATGTGGAAGAACACAATTCCTGCATGGAACTTAGATATTATTATAGTAAAGCTATAAAGTACTTATGAGGGTTTTACAAGTAGGTATTTTCACTTACCCACAGAACTTTTGTTAGATAGGTAGCTAGACAGACTTGAGCAAGGGAGATAGGGAAAGGAAATTCAGGCTCCACCCCATGGCACTCAGCTTGCCATTACACTGCCCAAGTACCAGCTCCTTACAGTCAGATAGCTCCCTGTCCATCTGAAGAAAATGAATATACTCTAACCTTGGGAAACTGCCAAAATGGCCAAGTTCGGGAGCAGGCACATTAAACTTAGGCAGGAAGGCTATAACCATCCCAAATAAATAATCCTTGGGATGGGAAGAGCCCAAGAAGGCCATAAAAGCCCACAACTCAAAACATAGGAAGCTATCCCTCTCATAAAACTGCCTACTCCATGCTCTCTGGAGCATACTTCCTTTTGGCTAAATAAACCCTTTGCTTTTTCTATTTGTGTCTCTCAACAGAAATCTTTCTTTTGGGAAGATAAGAACCATGGGACTCATTGCCCAATGACACTATTAATATCTCTTTTCCCTGAGTAAATATTTTCAAATAATAATGTAAAATTCTGGCAACATATTTATTAATGTCTTTTTTTATCTTTTAGTTGTAGTTGGACACAATACCTCTATTTTATTTTTATGTGGTGCTGAGATTCAAACCCAGTGCCTCACATGTGCGAGGCGAGTGTTCCAGCACTGAGCCACAACCCCAGCCCTTTATTAATGTCATTAATATCAGATAAACATTTTCTGAAAACCAAACTAATACAATTTAAGGAATATAAGTATTTTTAATTTTAAAATGAAAGCTTGTGTTTGTTATGTATAAGTGATAAAATGTTTCAAAGTCATATATTTTTTATGTAACTTCTGTTGAGTACTTACCTGTGTATTAGACCCTATAGTAGATGCTAGAAATACAAAATGAAATAAAACACAATCCTTGGGGACTGCAAGTGTAGCCTGCCTAGTGTGTCCAAGACCCTGAGTCTGATCTCTAGCACAAAGGAAAAGAAACACAATTCTTGTTCCCTTCAGAGTTTACAACCTAATGAGGAAGACACAAAATACTTAGAACACCCATGTTAACATAAACATTTACACCTGTAGAAGCAAATAAGGGAGTCAGGAAATGCTTTTATAAGAGTCACAAATTGCATGAGTAAAGTAAATTTAGCAAATCAGGTAAAAATTAAAGCTATGCTCTGTCAAAAGCCATCCATGACAAGAATTATACCTGTATATGTGATACAACAAATCAACCTCTTTCTCAGACTTAATTTAATGTAATTTTTAAAAGTTTTAATTTTTTAAGTTTCCAAACTTAAGACTAGTTGCCTTAACTTCCAGATGAATCACAAGAATCAAATTATAGTTTTGTTGGTTTTTCGGGATTAAATGATCTGTTTACACAGAATGTAGTATAGCTTCGTTTCCTGAGTCATATACTACTTGCCTTCTGCTCCAGCAGCATTTTATTCATACCTCCATTTTTTTTTTTATAGCAAGAACTTGAATTCTGCAAAGAAGGAACTATCAGCACCAGGTAAAAGATGAGAAAATAGGCTTAGTATGTGAAGTGATGTAATCAAAATCATCTTAAGCCAAATTTCAAATTCAATCTCACTACAAAAGCTCTTTCTACACAGGTACTAAATAAATCAAATAAATAACTCAATTGACTACAGTTTCTTGTTATCACTGCTTTGTTACTATCAAAAACAAATTTACCAAAGGTAAACGAAATGGAGAGGACATGATCCCAGTGGAGGTGTGGGGTACTGCCTAGTATCTGAACTCCCTCCCTGTAACTTGGAAATGCCCCCACTTTATTAATCTTCATAGAAGAGACAGCCCATAAAAACCAACAATGCCACATACTCCTACCAGTTACTCTTCTTATCTTACCCAGTAAAATCTGGAGATAGCACAAAGTTGGAACAGAAAAGGTTGGATTCTGGTAGAAGGAGGCAGCATCAACATTAAGTTTCCAAAGGCAAAAGGAGCAGCCATGCTGTAGTCAATTCTAGCCTTCCTCAATTTGCAGCCACACTGTTTGTCACAAGACTGGTTTTATGTCAAGATTTCTAGCTATGTCTTTTCTGCTATCTAGTCTTTCTTGTTTCTGACTTTTTAAGGTTATGGCCTTCCCAGGTTTTGAACTAATCAATATATTATCAACAGTCCCTTTTCTCCTAAATCAGTCAGAATTGCCCTGTTACCTGCAATTAAAAATCCTAAGCATTTAGTAAATATATAACACTAAATAATTGTACTTTATCTAATTTTTAAGCTGTATTTTGATTGTTCTTCTATGTAATATGTCATTAATATCTTAAGTAACATCTGCTTTACACATAAAGGTTTGTTCTAACAAGAACAAAAACAATTCAAATAAGGTTTCTTTACCTCTTTCAAAAGAAACACAAAGTATAGTAACAGTCATCTAAGGGTTATCTTCACTGAAGTTCAGAATTAATTAAGACTTCTTACCTGTCAGGAATACCTAGCCTCTTGACACTTCTGTAAACAGAAAGAGTATTTGCAACATGTCGATAATTAAACCAGAATCGGGATGTACACACCTAAAGTATTAAAACAAATATATGATTTTTATGAGTCGAAGTAAGCCATGGATTTACAGAATTATTTTTCTTTAGGTATGACATAGAAATGCCTGAAGAAAGAATGTCAGGTTTAGAAACAAGAAACAGTCAATAAACCATTTCTCTAAAGATAGGCCTTTCATACCATAACAAATACAAAAAGACCATTCAGTTTAAGAGAAAAAATCTTCAAGGAATTTAATCAAATATTGAACCAACATAGTTACACTCAATTTCTGCAATTCTATAAGATCCCTATTTGTAAAAGATTAAATTGTTTAGAATCAAAGAAAATGCCCTTAACCTCTTCACAGAATAGAGAAAATTAGCTACTTTAGGTTATATATTTGTTTCACTCTTGATTGCTTCCTTATTTGTGAGACATTGAGGATAAGACTAAAACATCCTATACAAAGCAGTTTTAAATATACCTAATACATAATAAGCCCAATGAACTATTAGAAAATAAGAAATAATTCAACACTTAAAAAAAGATTAACTAAAAATGATATCAATGGTTCTAGCAAAATCGTACACTATAACTCAAGAGTTAGTGTCTTGAGAATCCATTATATAGGAGGTAAACAGAGACTAGGGTCAGTTAATAGTGTATCCAAGTGAGCACACTCCTTCTTGTGCTTATACTATATATAATGACAATTTTGAGAATAATATAAATGTTCTTGCCTCTGTCAAATAAAAAGGAACTATATGATATCTTTTAATTAAAGTGAATTTTCATCCTAGAATCCAATAAGGAAAAGACAACAATTTTGATCACATAAAAATATAAAACTCCATATGTCAAAAATACCATTAAAATCCTGGCAAATGAAAAACTCAAAATTATAAGGTATAATTTTCTCAATTATAATTTATTAAGAAAAAATGAACAAACTAATTTTTAAAAAGAGGAAAGGATAAGAACAAGCATTTCATATCAAAAGCATTAAAAATGGACAATGAAATTCAAACTTGCTCACTCGATTTCAGCCATTCTTTAAAAAAAAACAAATCAGACTGATAAATATCAAAAACTCTTCTAATGAATATCATTGTCAAGGATGTGAGGAAATAAGTACTCAGAGCTGACTGATGGATATGTAAAAATTAATATAAACCTTTTAAGAAGGTAATCTGTAATATGCATCAAGTTTGAAAATGTACATATCTTTTCATTTAGCTCATGCAAGTATGCAAAAATATGTACTGAAGGCTTTTCACTATAACATTGCCTGTACTAGCAAAACTAAAAACCAAAGAGCTGGAAAACAAATTACTGTCCAAAAAAAGCTAGCAAAAAAAGATCCACAGGTTCCCTTATTGAAGCAGAAAAAATATATAAAACAATTTACATCTGAATTAATCATAATAAAAACCAATATTTTCATTGCATTTTATGCATACACAAAAGCTTTTTGCATCTATTATACTGTCTAATAAGCAGAAACCTAAAAAACTACCCTCTTTTTCACATCCAATTTATTAGACAGAAAATTAAGATGGGAAAATGGAAAGGACCAGGAAAATACTAACTAATATAAATTGTCAAATATTCACTGAATGGAATTTTTTTAAAAGCAAGGGCATATGGTAATGTCATTTAGAAGACCAGTAGTTTTTTTATAAAGAGAGGACAGATGGGCACGGTGACACATGCAGTTCAGGAGGCTGAGGCAGGAGGCTCACAAGTTCAAAGTCAGCCTTAGCAATTTAGTGAGACCCTAAGCAATTTAACAACACCCTGGGTCAAATTAAAAATTTTTAAAAAGGGCTAGGGATGTGGCTCAGTGGTTAAGCACCTCTGGGTTCAAGCCTCTATACCCAAAATAAAAGAGAGGGAGAGAGAAAGAAAGAAGTGTAGATACAAACATGATTGTACACACTGGAAATTTCTGAAAGGATATACAAGAAACAATTTATAGTGATTACCACTAGAAAATAAAAATGAGGGTCAAAAGGGGTGAAATAATTTTTCAGTTTATACCCTTTCTCACTATACTCTTTCTTCCCATGAATATTGATTATCTTTACAATATTTCTTTTAAAACAGAGTCAGAAATGTTTATGCAAAACAAATTAGAAACCAAAATGAAATCCAACTTTCCTTCTATCTCCCTCTTGTGGCAAAAGTTCCCTCAGTTATTTTACAAGAGTAAAATCTGATCATTGAACCAATACTAACTTCCAATTAATCCAAACTGGGGGGGGGGGGGGGGTAGATTTTTTTTAAAACTATAAACAATGTAACATTGAAAGAATTCATTTTTAGTACTTTCAGTTGGTCCTGTTCACATTTCATAACTTTCCATTTAAGAAAGTTCAATTTATTAAAGTTTCACTATACAGTATTAAGTCTAATGTATAAAATACTGGACAAAATATGAAAACTGAAGTTGTCATGAATTTATACAAATGTCTCTTTTTTTACCCTCTATTCTTCATCTGGAACCCAAGTTACTAAAACTCAAAAGGGACTTGCTTAGAGGGTACCCAAGTGAGGACAGCTTTAATGTAGTAGTAATGTAAGCTAAGCTAATAGGCTCTTAGTTCTAAAAAAGAAGGAATTTGGCAACTGATAGACATTCCCTCTTCTTAGATTTCCTTATAGACTTGTAATAGAAGAGCCCTGATTTTCCGGTAGAACAAATTTATCCTTTCAGTTTGGTAGACCATGTCCTGGCTCCTAATAATTTTCCTCATTTTTTAAGTAGTTATTGAAAACCTCTCTCCTTGTCTCAAGCAGCTTTATTGAAAACCTCTCTCCTTGTCTCAAGCAGCTTTTGTTAAATTCCTTCATAAAATCTCCTATGAGGAATAAGAAGAATATGAGACCATGTTATACTATTCTATTTAATCAGAATAAAATTACAATTGATACGAATATGCATAGCAACCAGTAGATAATTACATACTTTTACAAAACAATTCTTAATAAACTTATAAGGTCTCAAACATTCAAACATTCTACTTTGGTGTTAGTAAAGTTAATTATAGTCTTTTATGTTTGTTCTGCATGTTAGCTGAATTCTTCTACCCACCTCCTTAAAACTCCCACTGCTCTTATAATCTGTGCTCCCATTTTTTTTCCTTTCCAGCATGAGTTAATGGCTCTGAGATGCTGTGCATTCTTTGTTCCCTTTTTCATAAAAATCAGCTTTCTTTCCTGCCTCTTTGAACTTACTCTTTACATTCTTTCTTCTAGTTCATTGCTATCATTTGAATGTGACATCCCAAGTTCATGTGTTACAAACTTAATACCCAATTTCATATGTTGATGATATTTGGAAGCCCTTCAGAGGTAATCAGAATTAAATAAGGTCATCAGGGTGGGAGCATCCCATCCAATGATGGCATCAGAGGAAGAGAGAGACCTGAGCTAGCAAATTCACCTTTCTCACCATGCAACACCCTTTGCCATGACATAATGCAGTAAGAAAGCCATTATCCAATACAGAGGAGATGCCAGGACCATGTTCTTGAACCTTCAAGTCTCAGAAATGTGAGCCAAATCAACCTTTATTCTCTATAAATTATCCAGTCTCTGCTATTTTTTATAGCAAAAGGGAATAGAGTAGGATAACCTTTTTATATCTTTTTTCATTAAGTCAAACTTATTCTATCTTCTAATCATGTAAATGTCATTAAGTAAAACCTCACAAGTGAAACTATCATCCAAATATAAGAAAAGTAAAATTGATAACATGCATTCTGTTCAGGGAATGAAAAAATACAAATTTCTTAATCCAGATAAATTAAAAATGTTAATTCACACAAAGCAGAAATAAGGCAAAAGAAAAAAATAAGCCAATAAACAAATCTTAGTAAGAATCGAACCAATGCAAACTGAGACAAATTTAATTGTTACTCAGCAGCCAAAAAGAAACAAGTTAATGCACAGTTTACTTAGGTTTAGAAGAAAGGGCATAACCTTTCTGGAGACAATCATGTTCCACAACTTAGTATTTTTTGCCTAGGAATTTATCCTAAAGAGAAAATCAGTTAAGCTGTGCACAGTGGAGCACTCCCGTAATCCCAGCTATTTGGGAGGCTAAAGCAAGAGGATCACAAGTTCAAGGCCAGCATGGGCAACTTAGTGAGATCCTGTCTCAAAATTAAAAATAATAAGGGTTAGGGATGCAGCCTACTTGTACAGTGTTGCTAGGTTTAATCCATCAAAAAAGAGAAGAAGAAAAAAAGAGAAAAATCAATCAACTTCACAAAAATGTATGTAAAACAAAAATATTCAACACAACTATGATTAAATAATGAAAATTTTAGCATCTAAATACTTATCTTCAGATAATGGTACATTCCTAACAGAAACAATACAGCCTATAGAAAGGATACATATCTGCATATCTACCAGCAGAGAAGGTATCCCAAAATAAGCTAAGGTACTGTAAAACAGCAGGTATTTTATAATCCCAGTTATATAAAATCTTGAATCTATTTTATGCTTTATATTTTTCTTCTTTAAATGGAGAGGGGGTTACCAAAATACTGACTCTGAAATATGTGAATTGAAGATATTTCCCCTCTCTTTTTTCCTTTAACTGAGGTAAAATTCACAACATAAAATTAATCTGTCTTCTTTTAAACCTTTCCGTATTATATTTTTGAAGTTTTTACAATTATCATTAACTGTTTTGTAAACAGAAAAAACAATTATAAAAATAAAACAGCATAAATAGAGCAACTATAAACTAATGTTAGACATAGAAGATATATCCACTCATTTCCAGCTTAAAATAATTCTACATTTTATAAAATGCTTCCTTTAACAATAGCAGCCCTAGTTTATTCTTATATTTATTTACAAATTACCGCCTAACAAGTAAATTTAGGGCAAGGAATATTATTAGAATATTTAGTTGATGTGGTCAATTTAAAATATAACCAACTCAAAATAAAGAATTTCTTCTAAAAAAAAAAGAAAGAATAAATTTTATTTTCAAAAATTTGATGCATGCAAAATATTTCAGACACATAACTAATGTGAATGGCAAGGTATACAATTATAGAATATACTTACCAAAACAGCCCAGTTGTTTGTATGGCCACTTCTAAAGAATTGTTCTGCTTGATCCTATCAGTCAAAAACAGCAAAATGATTAAGAAAAAGCTCCAATTTTCCAGATAAAGACTGTTAATGGACAGTGAAGACTCATGGACTTTAATCAATATATGGAAGTTTCTGAAGATACTAGTGTTTGACCTTATGAACAAAATAAAGAACCAACTTAAATAGAAATTAGTACAAGATACTATATTGGGGGGGGGGGGGGGGGAAGCCCTAGTTTAAGATACTATGTGGAGGCTGGGAAGAATCCCTAGTTTAAAATACTATGGAAAAATAGCCTTGAACTAGAAATCTGGAGATCTAGATTTCAGTCTTGCTTGAGACTAATTAAGCAGAGTAACCTTAATTAAGATGCTTGACTCCTGGACTGAGTATATAGCTTAGTGGTAGAGTCCTTGCATACCATGCATCAGGTCCTTACATCCTCAGCATCACCAAACAAACAAACAAACAAAACACACACACACACACACACACAAAAGGGGGAGGAAGGGGGGGGGAGGGGGAACCTCCCTTGATACTCACTCTCTTTCTATGTGAAATCAAAGGATGCCAACTCTATCACAGTGCCATTTTACTGGTCTATAAAGATATGTGTGCCTCTGCTTTAAAAAATTATTAATCATTATACAAATGAAAGTTTATTATAGAAATCACATTTTACTCTTTCCATACCTGAGAACTATTAGAGTGTTCTTTACAGAGAATATAGAATATCTGTTCAAAAGATTTTACAAGATTATCGTTCAAAACTGCAACCTCACCAGAAGGATCACTAGTTCAAGAGCAGCCCCAGCAACTTAAGGAGACCCTGATTCAAATTTAAAAAACAGAAAAGGCTGGGGATGTGGCTTAGGTGTAGAGCATCACTGGGTTCAATCCCCAGTTCTAAAAAAGAAAAACTGCAATTTCACCTCATCATTTTCTTTACCTTATTTTCCTCATTATTATATACCATTAATTCATTTACTATGCATACTATTATTTTCCCATAGGGTGTAAGCTCCAGTAGGTCAGATGTTTTAATTATTTTTCAAAAATTGGCACACAGTAAATTTTGAGTAATTTTTTACTTTTTTATTGGGGGAAGGGGCATGTAACTAGGGGTTGAACCTAGGGGGTGTTCTACCACTGAATTACATCTTTTTATTTTTTTTTTTTTTTTTTTTTTTTTGGTGAGACAGGGTCTCACTAAATTGCCCTCTGGAGTAGCTCATATTATAGACATGTATCATCATACCAGGCTTTGAATAGATATCTTTTGAATGAATACATAGTACACAAGCCTTTACTGACAGTGAACAAAACAAGAATCCCCTAGAAAACTGAAACTACATGAATGATGGGTTCAGAATAAGAAACTATTACATAAAAGTTGTACCATAAAACTAAAAATTTCAAAATCTCCTTCTAGATTGTACTCTGATAATCTCTCCATTAAACTCATCACTCTGCAATGAAAATGTTTATGCCAAGAACTTCTCAAATATTAATATTTCACTTTTAGTAATATCATAGTTTTTAATCCCCATAAGAAAAAACTCCCTACTTCCCCAACCAAAACAATCACTACTCAAATTTCTCATAGAAGTCTTTTTAATAATTTAGTAATCATTGCTGTTCATTTATTAAAATCTCTGCAATTATGTTCACTCTTTAATATTGGTCACAATATTAAGTCAGACAGATGTGTTGATGCATCCATAAAAATTGCTGAATTTGGTGGGGCTGGGGCTAGGGCTCAGCAGTAGCACCCTGGCCTGGCGTGTGTGAGGCACTAGGTTTGATTCTCAGCACCATGTATAAATAAATAAAATAAGATCTATCAACAACTAAAATATATATATATATTTTTTAAAACGACTGAATTTTTGTTTTTGTTTTTGCTGGGGGATATTATTGTAGGACTATTTGTTTTTAAAATATTTTATCTCAAATGCAGCCAAATCTTCCTCATATGCTTTTAATTTTCCATTCGGTTTTTTAAAACTGTGAATGATTTCTCTCATGTCTTGATTCTACATATAACAATTCATATCTTTCCTGTCAAAACTTCATTCACTACCTATTCCTACTATGTGCTGGACATTTTATTCAAACTCACCAATATATTCGATTGAACACATAGTCTAGCATACTGCCACGTACCATTTCACCCATCTGTTTCACCCATGAATGGCAATAGCGTTATTTAACTCACCAAATGCAGGAATAGCGATTAGAACATAATGCACAACGAATATTAGCTGTTTTAATTATGTGGCTAACAGAAAAATTTCAGGGAGAATAAAATAAAAAGTTCTACTCAAATATGTATGAGTAGAATATACAGTTTTTTCCTCCCCCTACAAACCCTTGTCTATACTATAGTTGTCTATACTATAGTTGCCCAGATGTTGAAGAAAGCAAAGTCCTATAGTGGATAAAGTATTGGCTTAGTAATTTGACGACCTCAGCTAAAATATGACTGGGTGAGATTGATGTAAGTCATTTAGCTCTTAAATGACTTTTCTGATGCAGAAAATGAGACTTGACCCAAAAAATCTCTAATGTACTTTTCAGCCCCAATATTCTTACTTCATTAAGACTTTAGTGAAAATTTTGAGGTGGGAACTCTAATTTTTTTTTTAGACAATATAGTCATTATAAAGTTATTTAAACTATGTGTAGTTAATGAAGCACCTCATATGTTCCAGGTACCACATAATGTACAGTCTTAGGAAAATCACTAAAAAGCATGCTGTTTCTCTTAAGAATTCCAGCATTTAATAAGGAAGACAAGCATACAAACACATCACTTTACTATGCAACATTCATTTATTCATCACATTCATTGGACATCACGTACCAACCACTGCCCTGAGTGATTAGAATACTATAATGGGCAAAAATAGCCATAGTATTTGCCTTCAATAGGATAGCACATACTAAGCATAAATAAAAATGAACTATATATAACTCCTATAAAGCAAAGAAAATCTCTATAAAAAAAAGTATAACACGGGGACTTGGCAGAAAACATTTCCCTAAAGAAATGGCATTTGGGTTAATCAAAAGATGAAGAAAGGAGGGAAGACAATTCCAAACAGAGGAAATATGGACCAATGGCAGAAGAGAGCTAAAAGGTTTGAGAAACTGAAAGAAGTTTAGTATAACTAGAAATTTGAAAGGAAGAAACAGCAAAAGAATTCTAGATGTAAGCAGGGGGGTCTATGGGTATTGATGAAGATTTTTTTTAATCTGAATTATTTAAGATTTGTTCTTTACCTTTAGAATAGCAGAACAGCATTAATGGATATAACAATGACATTATCAGATGTGGATTTTAAAGTTATTCCAGCTGCAACTTGGAGAACAGATTGGAAAAAAGACTGACTCCTGACAAACCACTTTGGAAATTACTGTATCCTAAGTGAGAAGTATGAAATAACAATACAAAGAATGCATGGTTTGGGGGAATTGGCTCAAAAAAACAAAGGTCGAATGTTTTCTCTGATAGACACATGCTAATTCAAAATAAGGGGGGGTGGGTAGGGAAGAATATAGAGTTACTTTGGATTCCATAGAAGGGAGTGAAGGGAAGGGAGGGTTTGTGGATAAGAAGGATAGGAGAATGAATCTGACATTATTACTCTATGTACATATATGACTAGATGGCTGGTGTTATTCTGCATCATGTACAACCAGAAGAATAAGAAATTATACTCCATTTATGTATGATGTGTCAAATGCATTCTATTGTCATGTATAACTAATTATAACAAATTTTAAAAGATAGAAAAAAAGAAGAAACAAGTAAAAAACACATAAAGAATACATGGGCTCTAATGGGTAACTGCTATATTAGTTGAATGTACCAACTACAACAGTAAAGGGAAAAGTAAGAGACAGGGAAAGGTTCTACAGAGGTTGTTTTTACTGAAACTTAATAAAGGAACAGACAAAAGAAATTGGAGGTATAAAACCTGAAACTGTGAAAAAGCACAGCAACTGTGCAGCTACAAAAAACAACAATGGGGTCAGCCACAATGGCACACACCTGTAGTCCCAGGGACTCAGGAGGCTGATAGGGGAGGATCACAAATTGAAAACTAGCCTCAGCAACTTATGGAGACCCTGTCTCAAAGTTAAGAAAAAAAAAAAAAAAGGGTGGGGAGCGCTGGGAATGTAACTCAGTATTTAAGCTCCCCCGGTTCCGGGATAGAATCTAACTGAAAAAAAAAAAAATGGGATTTAATGTAAAGGAGAACAGAAGCCTAAAGGAAACAAAATAAATTACAATAGTATAGACAAGAAACGACCATAGCCTGAATTACACCAGTGAAACTACAGAGGTAAAGTCACTTATAAGAGTTCAGAACACAAAATTTAGCGATAATTAGGACTCCCGGGTATCTAGTTTACCAGCAACACTTTTGGGCTACGAAATACAAGAGAAAAGAGATGTTTAGTTTTTCCTTGCCTGCCTTTCTAAAAGGAGGTGAGATAAAACTTTGGACACTGATTTCCAAACGTCTGCTGACTATCTGGGCCCCTTCATCAGCTGAATATGCAAATCTGAAAATGATGCTAGAGATCAAAATTATAGAACTGAAAAACCATCTGAGTACAGTGTTAGTAAACACATTAAAGAAGGGCGGGGAGGGGGGCGGCGCCTGGAAGGCTAGTATAAAAAAGAGTACCCATCTGACTGTTATCAAAAGAGCCTTGTAGCCGGGTGTGGTGGCGCAAACCTATAATCCCAGCGGGTCCGGAGGCTGAGGCAGGAGGGTCAAAAGTTCCAAGCCAGCCTCGGCAATTTAGCGAAGCTCTAAGCAACTTAGAGAGACCTTGTTTCAAAATTTAAAAAACAAAAAGGGATGTGGATGTGGCTCAGTGATTACGAGTCCCTGGTTCAATCCCTGGTCCAAAAAAAAAAGAAAAGAAAGGAAGAAAGAAAATCCTATTAAGTAGGAGGGAAGTAGGTACTGCACTCCGGTGTTGACATTCACCTGCCAGGAAAGACTGCACACACGTAGGAGTAAAGGCAAGTTCTCCTCTGTCTCCAAGGATTTGATTCCTTTCAATGGCCATTTTTAAAGACTAAAACTGACAGACACGATCCTGTCCGGTTCCCAGGGACACCCTCCCCACCCGCTAGCGCTGGTGAGGTTGAAGATTCCAGGAGGGAGGCTGCTGTCAAACTACTGTGTATAGGACATCTGCTACGCGCTCGCGGCCACTACACAGCCGTCCTCCTACGGCCAACTCATCAAAATAGCCCAATTCCTACCTCGAGCTGACTAGCTGCCAAGCTTCCGAAAAACAAGAGCAACAAGGTGGCCAGGGCAGCCGCCAGCCGGCCAGGAAAGCAGGCGGCGGCCATGCTTGCCGGCTCCGCACTTCCCGTACCTGGAGGGGCGGGACGCGTGCCGTAAAGCAGCGCGGCGGGTGCGCCTGCGTTTTATTTGTTGCGACCTCCTGGAGACCCGCCCTCCGCCTGCTTTTAGGACTCAGCATTTTCAATCAAGTTTTCCCGGGAAATGAAGCGAGAATACTGGGGGATGCTGGGTTTTTAATCCTTAACTGCGTTTTCGATTTTTGTATTATAAAGTAGATGTAATATTTAAGGAAAAAAAATGAAAGGGGAAAGAACCTATGAATCCACAAATTTTAAAAAGCGATTTCACTTTTTGCATAGTACTGCCAGTTCTTGAGAGTATATGAAGCAGGTTATGGTGGGAAGAACAAGTGTTTTGCCACAAAAGGTGATAAATTTCAAGGGGAGATATGGGTGAATGCTGCAATTCAGAGACTTGAGGCCTAATAGTAGAAGGATGTGAACATGTTTTGCTTCTTTAGTTAATTCTCTAATGTTAGAGCTAAAACCTATCTGAAAGCAACAAAGATCACATAGCTATGTGCCACCATTCTCTATATATACAGTTTTAAATTCTTGTAGTATGACCATGTTTACAAGATGCTTCATAGTCCTTACAATTTTAACATTTAATGGTAACATGAAATTCCATCCATTATTGACGCTTCAAATAAAGAAGGAATTGCCCCTCTATTGAGCAATACAGCTATTCTAAGTTTTACTGAGAAAATAATATTATATAAGGAATATTTTTTTACACTTGGCATTATATCTGTTGAGTTATTTTCTTTTTGTAATTTTCCTCGAATAGGAGTCGTGGGTCAAAATATTTAAAAATGTCTTTAACAAGTACTCAGATGTTGCTTTCCAAAGTATAAAAGCTTGCAATGCTATCAGAATACACAGGCTAACACCAAATTACACCATTTTTTCCTTTAAACTCCTTGATACAAAATGTTACCTCAAGGTTGTTTTACTTCTAATTCTTTGATTACTGTCAAGATCTTGTTATTGTTTCCAAACTATCTGTGTGTCCTCTGATATAAATTTTATGTAAAACATAAATGTCTTTATAAAGCAGTATCATTAACTCTTGCGTATTTTATGCTTTTGTTTTTCCCATTCCCTGTCTCTTTCCCTTTTGTTTCATTTGCTATTGTACTTTATGAGAGGCTTAATGCTAATTACTCAAATTTAGGTTTTATATTATATGAAGCCTAGAAAGTTAATACACTACCAAGAATGCCTTTCATTTACTCATTAATTCAACAAAAACTTATTGAATGATGATAATATACAAGCAAGAAATACTAGAACTTCTTGCACTAATGAACCTCACATTCCTGTAAGAAAAGCAGACAAAAAGAAAAATGAATACAATAAATTCACATAATGATACAAATAGGAGAAAGTGATAGAAAATGGAGAAAGGAGACACTCTTTCAGTGGTGTAGTCAGGAAAAAACTAAGGCAACTGTTTTAGTCAACTTTTTCTCTGGTATGACTAAAGATATGACCAGAGGAGGAAAAGTTTATTTGAGGGCTCATGGTTTCAGAGGTCTTAGTCCACAGAAGGCCAGCTCCATTCTTCAGTGCTTGGGGTGTGGCAGAGGAAAGCAGCTCACATCATGGTGACCAGAAGGCAGAGAGACTCCACTCAACAGATACAAATATATACCCAAAGCCACACTCTGATTCCCACCTCCTACAGCCACACTCTACCACTTCAGTTAATCCCTATAGGGGATTAAATCACTGATTGGATTAAGACTCTTACAACCCAATCATTTCTCTGAACTTTATCATTGTCTCACATGTAAGCTTTTGGGGGACACCTCACATCCAAACCATAACAGTAACATTTGATCCGAGACCCAAATGATGAGAAAGAGCTAGAAAGGCAAATCTCTGAAGGCAGCAGATTTCTAATGTTTAATTTCTTGTTTTCTTTTAATTTTGTGTTTAACTCTTAGTATCTGGAATATACTTTGGTCTGTGCTATAAGTTACTGGTGAATTATCTATTGCTATATACAGGCCACTCAGAACTTTGTGGCATGTCCTCAGAAACTCAGGGTGATGACCAGTACAGGGAGACGTGAGTTTATGGGGGCCAGAAGGCAGAGAGAGAGACTCTCTGCTATACCGACCGGGTACTACTTTTATCAAAATTGGCATCCAACAAAATTTTCTACATACTCCTTACCTTTCTTTTGTCTCATGGTACTCCTTTATTAAGTTCTATTAAGTATAGTATTTCTGGGTATTCTGTTTTCTTTCAATAAAACATGTCTATTTTGAGGCTATTTAGTTTTAAAAGTAATGGGTTTAGCACCTTAATCATTAGCTCTTGGATTAGAATATTCATTGTCATATTAAAAGAAGTAGATTTCTATTCCTCTCTCTTCTCCCCCCCCTCCCCATTTAAACTGTTTTTCAAGTACAGGCAACAGCCATCTTTACCCAGAAATGAAGGACATGTGAACAGTTGTAAACACATTCCCTATTAGAAATACTTTTTATCTATTAAAATATAATATTGTTTATAATTTGTTTGGTTAGAATTATTAGCCATAGTCTGTGTTTAGATAATTTGTTTAGTTAGAATTATTAGCCATAGTCTGGGTTTAGACTGGAATTCCATTCAGTTATTCATTAACTGAAATTATCCTGAAAGTGAATTAATTAAGCATTAATTTTATAACCGAAAGAGAAAATGGGCATCTTATTGATCAAAATTACACTAGGGGTTGGGGTTATGGCTCAGTGGTAGAGTGCTTGCCTAGCACATGTGAGGCACTGGGTTCAATCCTCAACACCACATAAAAATAAATAAATAAAATAAAGTCATTGTGTCCATCTACAACTAAAAGAAAAATATTTTAAAAAATTACACATAGATGCACACATTTCTAGCTTCTTTAATAAAAGTTTTATAGCTGAGCATTATAGTAAGTCACTCCACAAAGTCTGTCCAAGCTGTTTTTACTGATATTCTTCAATCAAATGATAACTAAGGTTGACCTTCCTAATTCCAAGATCCCTAGTGATCATAGATTATTCTTGCCTTCTTCTTTTACCTGTATGGCTTCCTTATCTTTCCTCCCCCACTCCCTTTCCTTTCTGCATCAAGAAAATTACTATGTTATTTTATTCATTCAACAGATACTCATGAAACACTGTTGTGATTTGGGTATGAGATGACCCCCCAAAAGCCCTGTACTAATGCAGGAGGTTAAATTATTAGATTATGATTAGCCAAAACCTAATCAATAGATTAATTCATTTGATGGATTACTAATTTGAATGGTCTAACTGGGTGGTAACTATAGGCAGGTTGGAGGAGGTGGGTCACTGAGGGTGTGCCTTGGGGATTATATCTTGCCCTCTGGCTCCTCCCCCTCTTTTTTGCTTCTCAGCTACCATGAGGTGAGCAGCTTTTCTCTACCATACCCTTTCACCTGTTATGCCTCACCTCAGGCCCAGAAAAATGGTATCAACCCACTATAGACTGAACCTCTGAAACCATAATCCAAAATAAACTTTTCCTCAGGTTTTTTGTCATATGAAGAAAAACTAACAAAAGCACCAGCTGTATACCAGGTGTTGTGCTAGGCACAGGCAACACATAAGAGCAGAGACTGAGCAAGTTCCTGTCCTGACAGAGTTTACAGCCTGGGGGAGCCAAACATTAAAAATAGAAGCATTTAAACAACTGTAAAATACTAGTAGGAAAGTTCCCAGTGGGAGATTCAACCATTTAAAGAAAATCCAGAGTAGGTTTCTCTGAGGAAATGAATTGAGCTGAAATTAACAAGTTACTGAGGCAAAGGAGGAGGACAGGGAAGAGATGACTGTAAAGCAGAGCAAACAATCCTTACAGATCCTTTGTGGAGGAAAGGGGCTTGACTTGTTAGACAAGCTTTTAGAATGGCATTAGTCTTGCAGTTCACAGAAGAGAACAGAGAGTGCTACAAGATAAGGGCTGAATTGCTAAGCAGGTACCACCTCCCTTGAAGGCTAGTTATGAGCCTGGATCCTAAACCCACTGGGAAGTTCCAGAAAGGGAGAGAGCATACTGACTCCAAAGAGGAGAATGGGTGCAGAATTTAGAAGGCTATTGCTACCATCCAGGCAATGGTAGCTTAGACCAGAGTATTAAGAATAGAGATAATGAAAAATGGAGGTAACCAAAAGGGATTTTAAAGTTACAACATCAGAACATGGGGATGGATTCTATTAGGGAAGTCATAAATGACAGTTTCAAAGATGACTTTTGGAGATCTGATCTGGCCTGTACAACTGAATGCACAGTAGGTGTGCCCTTTTTTTTAAAACATAGAGATCACACACATTACCTGTATACAAGTAAAGGATTTGTATACAAGTAAAGTCTGGTTTAAATATTTACCCAGAGCAATTTGGAAGACAAACTCGTGTAAACCTACTGTAAATACTTTTGTGACTAATAAAAAAATGCTAAGAAATAAAATGAGTGGAAAGGATACATTTAATCAGGATCAAAACATGACCCTTGAGAGAGATTTTTCAGTGTGTTTTGTAGTATACATTTAGTTCCTACAGGCAAGTCTGTTTTCTGCAACAGTCAAAACCCAAAGTATTTGATTGAAGCATTTTGTATCAACAGCCAAATATATTTCTTTGGGCAAGATTAAATTCAATTAAAGTAAATTAGATATATAATACAATACAAATAGAAAAATAATTAAAACAAAAGGGTTTTATTCTAGTGTATTTGTATCATTTTCTAGTTCTGATTTTGATACTAGGCCACCTTAAATTCCATTTTCACTTGGCCTGAATATGTTTCTTCCCTGCTTTCAGTGAACCACTTAACAATAGTTTATTATTCTACTGTAATCCATTTCCATCTCATGACCTTCTAATTAGCTTCAAACTAACCCTTAATAACATTGCTGCAATGCAAAAGTAGAACTTGAAAATCCTGTGCTGTCATTAAAATGCCATAGCGACCCGGTCATAAAGTTATGTCAAATGCCTTAGCAGT